TCCCTCCGCTTCCGTCGGATCCCCCACGTCCTTTTCTTCTCTGTCGGGGCATCTATTTTTTCTTATCTATTGCGGCGTAACTATGTGTGACTCTTTGATGTCCTCTGTTCAGTTTGTATATGTGGCGGCTACGTGTTTGATGTTCCCTAATTTAATATCTACGTGTTCATGCAATTGTGGGCTCTCCATATTATGTCTAACCCAAATAATCATGTAGTTCTCTCCTCCAAAATAATTCTCCCCTCACGTCTTGACTTTGGGTTACTTTTCTTGGGCCACTTTTTGTTTTTCATGTCCAGCTCACCAATTTTTTAATCTCAACGCCCCAAACAAATAATATAAATCCTTCGTTAATGTGAGCAAAGTGTGTTTGACTTCTTTGGCCCAAATACTTGCATTCTCTTTTCAGCCCAAAAATACTGAAATAAATCATAAAATAATCAAAACAAATGAATCTATCTAAATAATAAATAAGTCGAAAAATATATAAGTGCAACAAAATTGAGTATATAAAAATACGTTAATAGATATATAATATACACACTTTTTACGACCAATCATGAACACACCTTCAATCTGAGAGCTAAGATCTTAGAGAGAATCTTATACACAACACTACATAGACTGATTGTCTATATTGACTTAGAAATTAAGTGATATTTTATATCTTAAATTAAGGGATATTTTCAAACTAGAAGATATATATATATATATATATATATATATATATATATATATATACTTAAATAGCAAATGTCAAGATCTTCTATTATGCAACTTCATGTGTAATGCCGATCGCGTGAAATTCTTATCTCTTTTTTTTTAAAAAAAAAGAATATCTAAATAAATTGTTACATTTTGTTAAAAACACGTGTTTTATAGCTTTCATGATATTTTAATGTTGCAATTATTAAGGAATAAAGACAAATGATATGAATACGATCGGAGTACATATATATATAAAATATTTGTCCATGCATTTCGCATTCAGTTAGTCATAAATATTCATAAGATCGGAAATGAAATTCAGACTGTTTTCTTATATTCACCCAAATTATATTTGCTCTATAAAAAGTCAACAGTACTCATTCATTTAGTTCGTTTTTATTGGCATATTATCTTTATATGCATTCTAAAGTTACACTAGGATTACATCCCTTCTCTTCAATTATCTCCAAGATTTGTTTTTTCCTATATATATTGTACCTGAACACACATTGTCATTCTTATATGTGTTTGTAGTCGACTTGGTATTATAATGCATTCAACCTTATTTCTTATATGCGTTGCGTTTGTAGTCAACATGGTATTGTAATGCATTCAACCGTAGTTTTTCCTATGAGACTCTTTCTTCTTCATGCTTTAATCTTTTTTTTTTTTTGGTACAAAGAAGGAGGCCAAGGCCTTAGAGAGACGCTTAAGCTAGAACACGCCTGGGGTAAGAGACCCCGATGAGATCATGTTGAAGCCAATCACCTAAACCAGTGGGTGGACTCGAAATGCGATGAAGTCCGACCGATTCGTACGCCGCTAAGCTTGCCATGTGGTCCGCCGCGAAGTTACCTTCTCTATGGACATGCTGAATCTTGACCCTCCATTCCCGATCTAAAAGACTTCTGATAGCCATAACAAGCGATGCATGGGTCCCAAGTCTATCTGATAAGAAATCACCTTAACTTACACAAAATAAACCAGATCTGTTACATGTGATAAGAAAACCATTTCACCATAATTGTCTTTCACAAAAATAGATAGCATCATGTCTTGTTACAATACCCTAGAATACTGTATGTTTCTATATATATATCACACTAACAAAGGATCCTACGGTCTACATTTAATCTGAAAAGAAAAGCATAATGAGAGAGATTTGCATGTCCAAGTTCCTCATTGGCTGCTACACTTTGTCTTCTTGTTTCCAACATGCATCCACGTGTGCATGTCTTTCCTTTTGACCAAAGTCACACTGTTTGAGCTGGCAAGGGAACTTGGTGTTTCCACACATTCTTTCACATTCCCCCTCAATTCGATCGAGGCCTTTGAAACAACATTCAATCTTAGTTTAAGACGAGAGAAGAATTGAAAACTCAAAGCTTTAGTAAAGATATCTGCAGCTTGTTCTTTTGTTGGGACATGGCTTAATTGCAATTCTCCTGCTGCAACCTTATCCCTCACAAAGTGGAGATCAAGTTCTATATGCTTTGTCCTTGCATGTTGTACAGGATTTGATGCTAATGCAATGGTGCTAGTGTTATCTATCCACACAGTTGGTACACCATGCAACTTTAGTTTGAGTTCATTCAGCAAGGATATAATCCATGTGATTTCTGCAGCACAGTTGGCTAAGCTTCTATATTCTGCTTCTGTGCTCGATCTTGAGACAAAACCTTGCTTTTTTGAACTCCAAGAAACCAGGTTGCCTCCAAGATAGACACAAAAGCCACTCACAGATTTTCTATCATCCACATCAGCTGCCCAGTCAGAATCTGAGTATGCTGTTAGATTAAAAGTCCCACATTTGCTTATATTTAAGCCATGATCAACTGAACCTGCCAAATACCTCAAGATCCTTTTCAAAGCTTTCCAATGACTGTCTAAAGGATTGGCCATGAATTGACTTACTTTGTTGACTGAGAAGGATATTTCTGGTCTGGTTATTGTCACATACTGCAATCCCCCAACCAAACTTCTATAAAGTGTGTCACTCAAATCATTTTGTTTTCCTTCAGTCTTTGATAGATGCAGAGAACTCACCATTGGTGTTGGACACCCTTTTGCATGTTCCATTCCTGCCTTTTTGAGTAGACTCTTGATGTATTGCTCTTGAGTCAACAATAACCCCTCAATGGTTTCACTTACATCAATTCCTAGAAATTGTTTGACACTTCCCAGATCTTTCAAAGAAAAGAATTTTTTCAGTTGCTCAACTATCTCATGAACTTCCTTTTCATCATCTCTTGTGAGCAAAATATCATCTACATATATTAACAAGTAGATTCTGGATGATGATTTGATTCTATGGAACAAAGAAGTGTCTGCCTTTGACTTGGAAAAACCAAGACTGCACAAGATTGTTCCTATTTTCTCAAACCAAGCCCTTGAGGCTTGTTTCAGTCCATAGATAGCCTTTGAAAGCTTACAAACAGTCTCACCACTTTCATTATTCTTCTCAAAGCCAAGGGGCTGTCTCATGTATATATCTTCATGTAGATCTCCATAAAGGAAAGCATTGTTGATGTCCAAGTGTCTGATTCTCCATCCCTTTTGTACAGCTACACTCAACATTAGTCTGATGGTTGTTGGCTTCACCACAGGACTAAAGGTCTCATGAAAATCAAAGCCTGCCTGTTGAGAAAAGCCTTGTGCCACTAATCGTGCTTTGTGTCTTGCAACTGTACCATCAGAGTTTTTCTTCAATTTAAACACCCATTTGCATCCAATCACATTCTTTCCCTGTGGCATAGGAACTAAGGACCAGGTCTTGTTTTTCATAAGTGCTTCATATTCAGTGGCCATAGCATCCTTCCAAGCTTTAGATCTTAAGGCTTCTTGGATTGTTCTAGGTTCTGTGTTGTATATTGCTGATAAGACCTTTGGTCTTGGGTTTCCTGCCTTTGATCTTGTGGCCATGGAGTGTATATTTGTGTTGTTGTGATTGGTTTTTCTTTCTTGAACAGGTTGATGAGGATCATTTAAAGGTAGCTCTACAAACAGTGGTATTGTGTTGTTAGAGGAAGTAGTAGTTGTACCTGGTGATGATCTACCTTCAAAAAAACCAATTGGTGAGCTGTTGCTTGGACTGTGAGACTCTTGTTCTTCAATATTTGAATGATTATGAGTTGGAGATGGTGGTCTCTGTTGGTTATCAGGTGGTTCATATGTAAAACCAGAGTTGAGTGATGGTGATGAGGTTTGATGAGGGTTGCAAGTATAGTGCTTGGAATTTTCAACCTTTTTGTCTTTGTAAGGGAATTCTTGTTCACTAAAGACAACATGTCTGGATATGATGACTTTTTCAGATTGAAGCAGTACTTTGTATCCCTTGTATTCTGTGCTAAACCCTATGAAAACTCTAGGTACTGACCTATATTGCAATTTGTGTTTGTTCCATGGTCTCACATATAGATAGCACAAACATCCAAAGGGTTTTAAGAAGCCATAAGCAGGTTTCTGCTTGAACAAACACTCCAGTGGTATCTTGTAGTTAAGACTCTTGCTTGGTAACCTGTTGATCAAATATGCTGCTGTAGAAAAGGCATCATCCCAGAACCTCAAGGGCATATTGGAGTGAGCAATTAGTGAGAGTCCCATTTCAACCAAGTGTCTGTGCTTCCTTTCAGCCACCCCATTTTGTTGGGGTGTGTATGGACAGGAAATTCTATGATGTATCCCATGCTCATGAAGAAAACTTTTGAGTGCTTTGTATTCTGTTCCTCCATCTGATTGAAGAGCTTTTATTTTGCAATTGAATTGGTTTTCTACCAGTGACTTGAAATGAACAAACACATCATAAACTTCAGACTTGGGCTTTAACAAATAAATCCATACATACCTGCTAAAATGATCAATAAAGCTTACATAATAAAGATAGCCATTTGAGGATTTAATAGGAGCTGGACCCCACAGGTCTGAATGGATCAATTCAAGAGGTTTAGTACAGACAGTTTCAGAATTTCCAAAAGGCAATCTATGTCCCTTTGCAAGCATACAAGATGAACAAAGCCTTGCACTGTTGTTCTTGGAATAAGGTAAATTCAAAAAGTTTAAAGCTTTCTCTATTACATCTTGACTACAATGGCCTAGTCTAAGATGCCATATGTCAGCTTCTTGATTATTAAAAATGGAAGAGTTCACTTGATCCTAACTTGATTTCTTGCCAAAAGATGCTCCACTTTGAATATCAGGTAAAGAGTTGACCTGCTGAAGATTGAAATGATAGAGCCCTTCTTTAACACTCCCTTTGAGGAGTATATCTTGGGTTACTCGGTCCTTCACAAGACAATAAGAGGGATGAAACTCAAAATATACATTGTTATCAGAAGCAAAGGATGAAACACTCAGCAGATTTTTTGTAATTGAAGGCACATGTAGAAGATTTCTTAAGAGAAAAGCTTTTGAACTCTGAGGAGATCTTAAGAAAGAGTTACCAATATGACTGATGTTAACCTCAGCACCATTTCCCATTTGCAGCCTGTTGTTACCAACATACTCAGATCCCATGTTAAGGTTTGCTAGCTCATTTGTAACATTTGTGGTTGCTCCAGAATCAGGAAACCAAGAGGACTCACTTCCAATTTCAGATATGTTGTTGCTGTTTCCAAGTTGAGGGATCTGACCAAAATGAGAAAGATTAAGGTTAGGATTTCTTTGAACATTTCCCTGTTGAGTTTGTTGTCCTGAGTTTCCATAGCTGAGATCACTTCTATACCAACATCTGTCTACTGTGTGATTTGCCACATTGCAAATCTGACAGATCACTTTGTTGTTGTTGTATCTTCCTCTTCCTCTACCACCTCTAGCAAATCTACCACCCCTATTGAAATTTGAGCCTCTGAAATTCTTGAAATTGCCTCTTCCTTGGTTAAAGGGGTTGTTAAACCTTCTGTTGTCCATCTGAGTTGCATTGATAGATGGCTGAGTGCCATCTGTGTTAATTGTTGGTCCCAGGAGGTTGTTATTGGCTTCCAGACGAGCCTTATAACTAAGAAGGAGAGCATGGAGTTCATTTAAGCCATAGGGTTCTATCCTTGAAGTGACATTCACCATGACAGAATCATATTCATTTCCAAGTCCTGATAAGATGTGTAGGACTTGATCTGTCTCACTTATCTTATGGCCAGCAGAAGCTAAGATGTCACAAAAAGATTTCATCTTAGAAATATACTCTCCCATAGTCATACCATTTTTCTTTAAAGACTGCATAAGGATCTTGTACTGCATCACTTTGGCTTGAGACTGAGCCGAAAAGTTGTTTTCCAAGGCTAACCATATGTCTTTTGAGCTGTTTAGGCCAACAGTGAGGACAAGCATACCTTCAGTAAGAGAGGACAAGATCCAAGATGCAAGGATTTGATCTTGTCTTTCCCATAGAATGAAATCTGGATTTGTTTCCTCAGATCCATCTCGAGTGACGATTGGAGAGGGTGATTCTGCTTCCTTCTTGATAAATGTTTCAAGGCCATATCCTTTAATGGCTGAGAGAGCTTGTTGTTTCCACATTAAAAAATTATTCTGGTCGAGTTTCACTGAAATCAACTGGCTTAGTGGAAAGATAATTTGAGACTGGTTTGAACTTGAGCTGGCCATATTTTGAGAGTAAAAAAAAAGGCAAGAGAAGGATTTAAAAAATCAGATCTGTTTCAGCTCTGATACCATGATAAGAAATCACCTTAACTTACACAAAATAAACCAGATATGTTACATGTGATAAGAAAACCATTTCACCATAATTGTCTTTCACAGAAATAGATAGCATCATGTCTTGTTACAATACCCTAGAATACTGCATGTTTCTATATATATATCACACTAACAAAGGATCCTACGGTCTACATTTAATCTGAAAAGAAAAGCATAATGAGAGAGATTTGCATGTCCAAGTTCCTCATTGGCTGCTACACTTTGTCTTCTTGTTTCCAACATGCATCCACGTGTGCATGTCTTTCCTTTTGACCAAAGTCACACTGTTTGAGCTGGCAAGGGAACTTGGTGTTTCTACACATTCTTTCACACTATCTTCCGTACCGTTAACGAGCTTTGTCGCGCACTGACTGTCCACTTCGACAATAACTTGCCGAAATCCCAAATCCTACGCCATAATAAGCTCCTGTAGAATCCTCCAAAGCTCAGCACCTGTGATAGTGCAAAACCCAATGTTCATAAAAAATCCTTCTACCCATCGACCAAATTCGTCCCTAATCAGTCCATCGGCGCTGCTCAATCCGGTAGACGTATCATGAGCTCCATCCGTATTAACCTTGATCCATCATGTGTCCGGCGGCGACCAACGGATAAACCGGGTAACACAAGGATCTGCCCTAACCCGAGCATGAGCCAACACCTCACGACTGTATGTATCATTCATGCTAAAGATCTCCAAGAGTTTTGTATCCTTGGTCAATGATTTGTGGTTGAAGCTCCTGTCATTCCGCCAGGCCCATAAACGCCACACCATAAAAGAGAACAAATTGTTCCAGTCCAAAGTGGAGCCCACCTGCATAAGTAGCAGGTTTTTCCGAAACCAGGCTTTGAGAGGTAATGAAAAAAAATCATGAAATTGGTCTGGAGGCAACACGCGAGACCAGAGGGTCTTTGCCGCTCGACAGTCCCGTAAAACGTGAAGTTGAGATTCAGGCTCCCCGCGTACGTCACAGTCCAGTGAAGAAGTTAAGTGTCGTCGGGCACGTTCCAGGTTAGTCAATAACCGACCTTTCGCGGCGAGCCAAAGAAAAGTGCGGACGCGTTGAGGGGCCGGAGCTCTCCAAATCAGTTTCCACAATGCCTTATCAGGGTCCCGAACCGACTGAAACAGGGATTTATACGCCGAGCTCGTAAGGAACCGCCCGTCTTGGGAGTAGGCCCATGCTATACGATCATCGACGGCATCCTCACGTGGTGGTGGAATACCAGCTATTCTCAAGATTACCGACGACGGGAGCGTACCGTGGAATTCGTCCCACTTCCAGCACCCACACTCGTCCACGAAATCAGCGACTTTTGCATCAGTATTGATTGTCGATGAACCTTGATGTAAGAACCTACTTAAAGGACCATCGGACCCCATCCAAGGGTCCACCCAAAAGCGGGCTGATTTTCCGTTACCAAGGTTCCATCGCAAACCCTTAAGCAAATCCGGCCACAGGGTACGAAGAGCTCGCGCCAGCCCGGACCCATGTCTGCCCAGAAAGTTGTCACGGATAGTCGAAGGGGAGAGACCATACTTAGCCTGAAGAGTGCGAACCCATAAGGAACTACTATTTTTCAGTATCCCCCACCCGAGCTTCATCAAGAAAGCTTTATTCATGCAATGAAGATTTTTTATACCAAGGCCACCCTCTTCTTTGGGCTGACATACATCGTGCCAAGAGACTAAATGTATCTTCCTTTTTCCATCCGAGCCTCCCCACACGAAGGCCCGACTCCTTCGCTCAATACCATCCTTGACGGCGCACGGAATCAAAGCCGATTGCATAGAATAAAATGGCAACGTACTAAGGGCTGACTGAGTAAGAGTCACTCTTCCCGCCAAAGACAACGATTTCATATGCCAACCGGTTAATCTCGCCTCCGTCTTCTCCACTAAGTGCGAGTACGTACTACGTATAACCCGGCCATGAATAATGGGAACACCAAGGTATTTGCCCAAGTCTGTTGGAGATTTGCTTTAATCTTTAACTTTTGGATTTGCTGACTTATATTTAGTGTTTTATGATGCACTTATTTATTGCCTTTTCCAGAAACGTGACGATGCACGGCAGTTCATGAGGTTACTGCATCTTGATCTTGGTGTTTGATGTAGGGAAAGCGTACGAATAGGAATGGATAAAACGAGTAAACGAGATATTCTCGTAAAACACGTAAACTCACAAAACTCAATCAATTCTTATTTCATATTCAACTATCCCAATAACAAAGCATAACAACCCTTTAAATAAGGCTCTAACCCTAAATTTAGCTTATTCCCCAAGCTAATCATTATTTAATAATAGTAATAATAATAATAATAATAATAATAATAATAATAATAATAATAATAATAATAATAATAATAATAATAATAATAATAATAATAATAATAATAATAATAATAATAATCCTACATCATTCACCCCCGGTTGAGCAGGATTCACCCTCCAATACGATCCATTATCATTGGAGACACCCGTAAGACAAAAATAGTCTGGCCTTTGCCCCGATCAAACACGAAGTACGAAGATTGCCCAACAACTCCAATGGTAAACATAAGCTTGAGCAAGGGCCGAATTGCTGTAAAGGCACGCGTACACATCTCCATATGCATAACCCACACAGCGGAAGGAACACCAATCATCACACAACGTTCACCGAGCTCCAATCCATAACTACAGCCAAGCATCTCGGTGCGTTTTATTCAAAAAATGCCTTGGTCTTTGACAACTCTATTGATTCACTGATGTTAAGCGTAGTCGGAGGCCTTTTCTTCCTGAGACGAGCGGCCTGCCAGTTATTGAGCCTCGGTTTCGGCTCTGAAAAACCATCGTCAGACAAGATACTCCAAAAATCAGGTTTGAACAACGACATCTCCGTCAAAGGCTCAACTTCTGCAACGTTACACGCGGGACCCATATTGTTGCAAAGATATGGCTCCGTCACCGGAGGCTCCTCATCGAAAATAGCAGGATCGTCGTACAATGGCCCGTCGACTTGCTCACTGTCGAATTCAGGGATGTCAACGCGAAACGAGCCCTCCCATTGACCATA